ATGTTCACATAAACTCACGCATAAGTCGTCAACTTATAAAACTATAATGAAAAAAAAATAGTTGTGTAAAAAATATTTTAAATATTGATAATTTTTTTTCTGTTTTATAAATTTATTTCTTTATTTATATTTTTAATAATATAAGTATATTAATTTTTTGTTATATTATATAAATAAATTTATTTTTAAATATAGTTTCCTTAACATTATAAAAATTTATATTTAAAAAGAAATATAGGAAAAAAAAGTGAATCGTTTTCTGTTGGAGGGATAATTCATGCTTAACCATGTATGTTGACATACACTGACGCACATGACAGAAGCTTATAAATCTATAAGGAAAAAAATGTATAAAAATATATTGTAGATATTGATTTTTTTTTTTTTTGAATTTGTTTTTATCAATTTATTTGTTTATTTAAATTTTTACTAATATAGATATATTAATTCTTTATTATATTATATAATGAAATAGGCTTACCTATGAGGTCAAATAAGATTACTTATAAGCCTAAGGCTAACCATTATTTTACAAATACTCTATTTTAAAAGCCTAAATTTGGTCTTTTATTTTACGAGTTAGGTCAGGTTAGGTTTAGAAACCATAGGCTCTTGTTTAAGGTCTGACCTATTTTCTATCCCCAAACATAAGCACAACATATTATTAAAACCTTATACGAACATAAACATAGAAAAAAATTATTGATGTAAGCAATCTTAGTTAATGATAATGAAGGTTTTTTGCAATAGACTAGTGAGGCTCCAACAACATTTAGGTCCTCTCTAATCACCTTCTTCAAAACACACCACTGTGTTTTCCCACTCTCTACCTCACCACTCCTAAGTTTTCAAGAAATCTCCATATTTTTTGTAAATAGTTTCTTCTTGTAAAAAAAACTTTAAATTTCTATTATGTTTTTGCTCTTTTGTGGAGTTGTTATTATTGTGAGGGGTAGGGATGAGAATAAGTCAAGTCAAACGTTGAATATATAGACTAAACATGTTCTACATAATTAAAGCCTAAGTCTGACCTATTATCTATCATACACTTTTTTTATGGGTCTTTCCTATTAACCTATTAAAAGCCTATTTATATTATTATTGTTAATTAGGTCAATAAATTTATTTTTAAATACATCACTACAAGTTATTTTTTAATTTGCATGATAAAATATAGTTTATTCAATATTATTAAAATTTAAATTTTTAAATATATACAATGTCACAAAGAGGAGAAAAAGTAAATCATTTTATATTAGAGGGACAATTTATGTACAGTAACATATGTGGGTGTACACACTATAATGAAAAAGGATAATTATATAAAAATAATATTTTAAGTGTTTCCTATATCTAATATCTAATTTGGTATATTCTAAATAATTGATTCATATTTTAACAAATTGAAATAGTTATTATGACAATTTATAGATGAAAAAAATATTGATTATACATGAAGTGATCTCAAGGGTACCAAGTATATATACATTGTTACAAAGAGATAATAGATAAAATTATTTTCTATTGAAGGGACAATTCATGTATATACATGTACAATGATGTACACCTACACATAGACAATGATAAAAGAGGTTAGTCTTATTCAAAATAAAAACTTTTTAATTATTTCAATTATCTCATTTGACATACTTCCAATAACCAACTCCTATTTTAAAAAATTAAATTAGCTACGATAATACCTTTTCAGATTATTGATTTATTTATAGCAAAATTTAATATTTTAAAAAATGACACAATTATTCAATATAATTAATTTAATACTAATATAATTATTTGTTTATTTATATTAATAATATATATATATATATATATATATATATTATATATATTAATATTTTATTATATTATATAGATAAATAGGCTAGTCTATTAGGTCTAACAAATTCTTTTATAAGCTTAAGTCTAATCTTTTGAAATAAATAGGCTTTTTTAAGAGCCTAAATTTGGTCTTTTTATTAAAGAGGTCAGGTCATAGATCCTTGTTTAAGGCCTAGCCTATTCCTATCCCTAGTGATGAGCTTTCCCCTATTAGAAAGAACAGTAATTAACCAATACATTGAAGCTATATGTTTCAAAACTTTTACGAGAAGAGCAATGCTTCATGTTGCATTAATTCATTGCCACTAGGGATGAAAATATGTCAGACTTTGAATATATAGGTTGGGTCTATTCTATAAAACTAATGTTTAAGTCTGACCTATTATCCATCACATACCTTTTTTAGGTCTGGCATAACTTTTTTAAGTCTGATCTGACCTATTAACCTATTTAAAAGTTTATTTAAATTATAAATGTTAATTAGACCAATAAACTTAATTTTTAAAAATCAAAAAAATTATTTTTAAAATATAATTTACTAAATATTATTAAATTTTAAAATTTAAAAAAATATAGGAAAAATTGAATTATTTTCTATTCAAGGAACAATTCTTGTGTAAACATGTATGTTGACGTATACTCATGCACAAGTCGTAAGCTTATAAAGATAATAAAAAAAATAATTGTATAAAAGAATATTTTATATATTGACAATTTATTTTTATTTTATAAATTTATTTGTTTATTTATATTTTTAATAATATATATATATATATTAATTTTTTATTATATAAATAAATTGGCTGATCAAGCCTAACAAACTTTTCTATAAGCCTAAGTCTAAACTTGACTTTTTTATTAAACAAGCCAAGCCAGACCAAACTTTAAAGAAACTTGGCTTCATGCCCCCTATTTAAGGTCTGACCTATTCCTATCCTTACTTGCCACAAAGAATTGTTATCAAAGTTAGTAAACTATAAAATAATTTATAACAAAAAATATTGCACTTCTCTTATTTTTGTTGTGTATTTAACTGGTAGAGTAAATAACTTAAAATGTACAGTAGAAGAGAGATAAGAGAGAAGAACTTACTAACCAAGATGGCTACAAACAATGAAATTTTTGTTCTTTATTCTACAATAGTTATGAAGACATGACTTGTTTCCCTTTCTTATGGCAAATACCAAATTTGTCCATCCAAATTTTGTCAGATTATATTTTGTACACACAACATATTAAAAAGTGAAAAGAGATAAAGAATGACTCAACAGTAACTCAATGAAAACACTATATAAGGAAGATTATATTAAAGTAAATTATGTACACAAAATTTTGTATGAAATATACAAAAATTTTATGTAGCATGAACTATTCCATAAAAGAGGTTTTGTTCATACCGAAACAATGAGTACATGACCTGAAGAAAGTAAGATAAGGATATTCTGAAGAAAAGAAAAATCACCTAGAAAAATAAAAATTACGCCCTTCCTCTATTATTAAATTTGTTCTAAAATATCCAATTTCAGTCCCTCAAGTGCAACGAATTATACTTGATTCTGTTATTCCTCCTTTCTACTCCTTATAATGTCTCCTTTTTTTTTTTTTTTTATCAGTTGTCATGTGTATATGAGTGATCCCACCAGATATTTTCCCATCATAACAAAATGTAGTAAACTTATAGAAGTTACTTAGATAATAACATAAAAGGCTTTCAGCATAAACCACAAAAGTTGCCAAAAAAAAAAACATAAGTTCTCTGTAACCACCTTCTCTGAAGCATGCTACTATTTTCTTACACTCTCCATCTCATTAATGTCGGAATTTACAAGATGTCGTCGTACTTTTTCTAAATTAATTTCTTCCTACAAAAGGATATTTAAGTTATGATATGTTATTGATTTTTTATTGTTATTTTTCCCTATTAATAAGAACATTCATCAATGTCAATCAATACAATGAGACAAAATTTAACAACTCTCCTACGGGAAGAATCTTGCTTCATGTTGCATGCCATGGATACTTTAAGAATCTTGCTTCATGTTGCAAATTGTGTTTGTACCGGAAGGACCTTATCGGTCACGCGGACCAACACGTGCCTTGCCGTCAGACACCCACGCAAGGTAAATAACCCTAAAAGCCTTAACATTAGCACCGGCTCGGATTACAACCGAAAGTATGTTATGAGTCGGATAGCGCGATCGGCTCGGTGTGAGGTCGATACGAACAGAACCGTGGGCTTCGCAAGACGACGTACACCGGCTCAGACAGAAGCCGATCAAGTATAACAGCACAGTAAACATGTAACGACTCGGCCGAAGGCCGGGCCGAAAGGCGCAGCAAACATGTAAACGGCACGGCCTAAGGCCGAGCCGAGGGACGAGATAATAATTATAGCCTTCACCATGATCAATGAGGATAAGTACGTGATTAAAGCATAATGAGCCTATTAGCAGCGTATTACCTAATTTGGTAAACTTCAGGAGAGGCCCACTACTGACAAGGCCCATCAGTGGTAGTATAAATAGGTCACTTTTGTCAAGGTATGTCACTGTTCATTAATTACCTTAGAATATCGTGCTCGTCCTGACTTGAGCGTCGGAGTGCCTTTTGCAGGTACCTCCCCCCTCGCGCAGAAGAGCCCACCTGAAGACCCTCGTTCGGCCCTTTCCCCCACTGCAGAGTACGAGTGTGCCCCTAGACAGGTACATTTTGGCGCCCACCGTGGGGCCGAACCGAGAGACAACAAAGAAAGAGAGTTGAAGGGAAGCATGGTAAAGACAAGAAAGACCAACATGGGAGATCATCAATCCGAGGAACATCAATCGGGAGCCGACAATGCCGAGACCATTGAGGAGACGAATGTGACTGAAATGGTGCGACAGCTGAAAGAAGAAAGGGCTGCCATGAAGCAGCAACGGGAGAGGGACGCGGCCGAGATGGTTGCCTTGAGAGCGGAAAATGATAACCTAAGGAGTCAACACCGAGACCCTACCTGGAAACCCTCCGAGACAACCCATTCTCAGGGATCGTTCCACTCGCACGGTCAGCACACGTCCGCCCCGAATACCTCTGCCGCGGCCCATGGCATCCACGCATCGGCCGCGCGACCGATACAGTCAATGTCGACCGGAGCGCACTGACATCCGTTTACAACGAGTATTATGCAGTCAACACTTCTCGACAACTGGAAGTCACTCCCCCTCGATAAGTATGACGGCACCACAGACCCGGACGAGCACGTGGACGTGTTCTTGACGCAGGTAACCTTGAGTACCACAGATGACGCCGCGCTATGCCGGATCTTCCCGACCTCCCTGAAGGGTCGCGCGCTGAGTTGGTTTACCCGACTCCCGGCAAGCTCTATCGATTCCTTCAGCACGCTAGCATCCCAGTTCATAGTTCAGTTTGCCACTAGCCGTCCTCACCAGTTGACCTCACTAGCCCTGGTCAGTATTCGTCAAGAGCGCAGGGAGTCCCTGCGGGCGTTCATGACTCGATTCAACAAGGCGGCCTTGGAGATCAGAGACCTTAATCCCGCCGTCGCTTTGCACCATTTAACTACCGCTTTGAAGCCAGGTCCCTTCGCTAATAGCATATGCAAGAAGCCGCCCATAGACATGGATGATCTTCGGCGAAGAGCCGATAAGTACATGCAGATGGAGGAGTTAGCCGAGTTTCGCAATCATGCTAGAACAGAGGTGGCGGCCAAGTCGGAAAGGCCGACCAAAGGCAATACCCGAAGCCGACCGAAGGAATTGGTACCCCGGGAGAGGTCCCGGAACGGACCAAGATACCCGCAGTACACCCCCCTGAACACTAGTAGAGCGGCTATACTAGAGCAGGCATTGGCCTCTGAAGTATTGACAGTCCCGAAACGAGCCTCGACCCCTCCCATGGCCGACACAAGCAAGTCTTGCAAATATCATCATAATCGGGGGCATTCAACCGAGGAATGTGCGGCGTTGAAAGACAGGATAGAGGATCTAATCAAGCAGGGACAACTACAGGGTTTCGTGGAGCGTCCCAATACATCCCAGCGTACCGATCGGTCGAGACGGCCTGATCACCCCGAACCCAGAGCCGAGACACGCGGGTATAGAGAGCGCAGCCGCTCCAGAGAAAGGCGAGACCCGGAACCTACATCACAACCCAGGCGAGTCATCAACACGATAGCAGGCGAATTCGCAGGTGGTGGTTCTTCTTCATCGGCGCAAAGAAGACACCTACGCGCCATTCGGCACGTCAATGCCGTTGAGACGGCTCGGCATCCACTACCTACTATTTCCTTCACCAGCACCGATTTCAAGGGGATTGACCCGGATCAAGACGACCCAATGGTAATCAGCGTTGAAATTCATAACTGCATTGTGCGTAAAACGCTGGTTGATCAAGGAAGTTCAGCCGACCTCTTGTACTGGAGCACGTTCAAGCAGTTGGGCATCCCGGAGTCTGAGTTAATCCCGTATGACGAACCGTTGGTCGGATTCTCTGGCGCACGGGTTAAAACAAAGGGGAATATCAAGTTGTCGACTCGTTTCAGATTTGAAGGAGCAGAATACCGTGACATCTCGGTAAAATATGTGGTAGTCAACGCCAATACATCCTACAACATTCTGCTCGGCCGACCATCTCTGAACAGACTCGGCGCTATCGTGTCCACACCTCATCTGGCCATGAAGTTCCCGTCCGATTCGGGGCGGGTGATCACTGTCCATGCCGACCAGAAAACAGCACGCGAGTGCTATTTCGCCAGCCTGCGGTTACCGAAACCTCGTGCGGAAATTGTTGAAGAGCCCAAGCGTATCCACTCGGTATCATCAGAGGGGGCACTCGACCTTGACCCCAGAATGGATCAAGATGAAAGAGTTGAACCTATTGAAGAAAAGCAACCTCTCCAAGTCGGGACTTCTGATGCACAGCTTACTTATCTAGGCACCGTTCTCTCGGAACAAGAGAAGGCAGCTATCGAACAAGTAGTACTTGACAACCGAGATTTGTTTGCGTGGCACCCCTCCGACATGCCTGGCATCGACCCAGACTTTCTTTGCCATAAGCTCTCGATCAGTAGGGAGGCGAGGCCGATTGCCCAGCGGCGTCAGAAAACCGGAGAGGAGAAGAAGGCGGCAATCGAGGCCGAGGTAGCCAAATTGCTGGAGGCGCAGTTTATACGGGAAGTGCACTATACAACGTGGCTGGCTAATGTGGTCATGGTCCGAAAGCCGAATGGGAAATGGCGTATGTGTACCGATTACGCCAACTTGAACAAGGCCTGCCCGAAAGACGCCTACCCGTTGCCTAATATCGATCGCCTAGTCGATGGGGCGTCTGGCCACCGATTCCTATCCTTCCTAGACGCCTATTCGGGGTATAACCAAATCCGCATGCACCCTCAAGATGAAGAAAAAATGGCGTTCATCACCGAGATGGCCAACTACTGCTACCGCGTGATGCCGTTCGGTCTGAAGAACGCCGGGGCCACATACCAGCGTTTGATGAATAAAATTTTCCATGATCAGATCGGTCGGTGCCTGGAAGTTTACGTTGATGACATGGTCGTAAAGTCTGGCGAAGTTTCTGCCCACGTGCACCACCTCGCTGAAGTGTTCCGAGCGCTCAGGCAACACCGGATGAGGCTGAACCCTGAAAAGTGCGTGTTTGGTGTTTCAGGTGGAAAGTTTTTGGGGTTCATGTTGTCCAGTTGGGGCATCGAGGCGAACCCGGATAAGTGCCAGGCCATACTGGAGATGAAGAGTCCCGGCACTCTTAAGGAAGTACAGAAGTTAGCAGGTCGGCTTACCTCGCTTTCACGGTTCCTTCCTCGGCTGGCCGAGATATCTCAGCCAATCCTTGCCCTGCTAAAGAAAGCAAAGCAGTTTAGCTGGACCGACGAATGTGAAGAGTCGTTCCAACAATTCAAGCAACGCCTTAGCTCACCCCTGGTACTTTCCAAACCGAATGCCAGCTCCGATATGATAGTCTACCTGGCCGTATCAGGTCATTCGGTAAGCGCTGTTTTGATACAAGAAGACCAGAGGGATCAGCGACCGGTGTACTTTACCAGTCGGACACTACAAGACGCCGAGAAGCGCTACCAGTTGATAGAAAAGATAGCTTTAGCGTTCGTCTACACTGCTCGCAGGCTCAGGCAATATTTCCAAAGTCATAGGGTGGTATTCCGAACTGATTGCCCGATTGCAAAAGTCCTTCGGAAGCCAGAAATCGCTGGTAGAATGATGGCCTGGTCGGTCGAACTCTCAGAATTCGACATATCTTTTGAGCCGAGGGGACCTATCAAGTCGCAACATTTGGCTGACTTCGTCAACGAGCTCACCCCAGCAGGTAGTTTTCAAGACGAGCCGTGGACCATGCATGTCGACGGATCATCTAACGCTCAAGGAAGCGGGGCGGGGATAATTCTCGCTAGCCCCTCAGGCATCACGGTAGAACAATCGCTCCGCTTCAGTTTTCGAGCGTCTAACAACCAAGAGGAGTACGAAGCATTGCTGGCCGGAATGAGACTAGCAGCTGAAATGGGTGTGAAAAAAGTCGTATGCTGGACCGACTCAAACATTGTGGCCGAACAGGTCAACAACAACTTTCAAGTCAAAGATGCTAATTTGTTGCACTATTATCACCTCTTCCAGAAACTCAAAGATGATTTCGCCGAGGTTCAAATCCGGCACATTCTAAGAGGTAGCAACGAACGAGCCGCTCAGTTGGCTCGGCTCGCTAGTAGTAGAAAACCGGGACAGCTAAGAACAACAATTCACCTGGAAGTCCCTTCTCCAAGTGTGGCCGTAGAGTGCATGGCTACCGATGCCGAAGTACCGAACTGGATGACTCCCATTCGGAACTTCATCCTCCAAGGGGAATTTCCCACCGATCCGATGGAAGCGAGAAAGTTGCGTACCCAAGCAGCTCGGTACACCATAGTAGCTAGCGAACTCTACAGGCGGGGATTCTCCACCCCGTTGCTCAAATGCATTGACAATCTACAGGCTGAATATGTAATGCGGGAAGTCCACGAAGGTATCTGCGGATCCCATTCCGGAGGTCGAACCCTGAAGTGTACAGTCTCTAACACTCGCAGATTTGACTTGGGGATACGCACTTGTTTTTCTTCCTTCTTTCTTCTCATAATTTTGATGACTTCGTGTGCTCTTCTATGAATGTAGAAAATATCTAATATCTCTCATTGTGAATAGTGGACTTTAGACTCCTTTTAGTATTCTTCGTCTACGTCTAGTAATGTTTTTGAAATTTAAGTCTTCGTTTAAGAAGTAGACTTTGACTTTTCCTTCGTCTGGTTTGACTTTTCCTTTCGTCTGGTCAGTTATGAATATGAAAGTCTTTAATTCTGTCTTGAACGTTTCTTTGTCTTGTGTTATCTATCTTCTGATACTTTTGTTGACCTTTGACTGGTAGGACGCTTGATCTTGTATGTATTGTATTTTCGTCTGGCTTTTGATCGTTTGATGTTTTGTACAGCTCAACCAGGCTTCGTTTGTTTGATCACGTACTTCGGTTTTCAGTTTTGCCTATTCTTATATTTATCTGAAACACTAACGCACATGTTAGAAATAACAATATGTATTATATTTGTCATGTTCAAAACCTTGTTGGTGATTTCTTCATCTGACTTAACACACTCAAGTATCTTCGAGGACAAGGGAAATTGAATAAGAGGCATGCATGTTAGAAAAGAATGGCTCAATCCAAGAGGGGGGTGAATTGGATTCTATGACACTTAAAAAATTTATCAGAGTTTTAAGGATCTTTATTTCAACTTAAACTTTTCTAATATGAATTCTCAAAGAAGTTTCTTGAAAGACATGCCAATGGGAATGAGTCCTATATACTTTCTTGATTAATCTTGATTAAGTTCAGTTTTAAGAACAACTAATATGCAATGTTAGGATTCAGTTTAAAGAAATGTTAAGCATACAAACATATTAATCAAGATCAGCCATATTATCACTCAATTAAGAATTTGCTCAATGTAAGAGATAAGAGTGAGAGAAGAATGCACAAGTATTTTATCCTAGTTCAACCATTCCACATGTTACCTACATCCAGTCCTCAATCATAACTTGATCAAGATTTGTTCCACTATCTCAATGAAGAAGTTTTACAAGCATACCACACATGCATACACTCCTACATTCAAGATAGACACTTTCTTTCCCCCAAGAAAGCACTTCTTGTAGAAATCCACTACAAGAATTCCTTACCACTTGAGACACCTACTCAAGATTTTCCTTACACATTATACAAAAAATTAAAGGAACGAATTCACCTGGAAGCTAAACAAATCATATTTTGAATTTCAAACAAATCTTAATCTTTCTCTCCCAAGAATGTAGTGATGATGATGATCTCTTTCAAAGCATTTCACAAAATGTTTCTCTTCTTGGTTTCACAAAGAAAACACTCCAAGAAGGTCACAAAGACTTCACAATATCAGTTGTTCTCTCTTTTGATTTCAGTTCATCTCACTTGTTTTAGTTTCAAAGTGTGAAAGTTATTTATAAAGTTTTCAGATCCAGATAATCGATTATTTTAAAGGATAATCAATTATTTCTTAAAATTTTTACAAGTCTTCCCTCCCGAGATGTCTCTCGGCTAAGGACGCGGCTTAAAATTTTTACAAGTCTTCCCTCCCGAGATGTCTCTCGGCTAAGGACGCGGCTTAAAATTTTTACTAGTCTTCCCTCCCGAGATGTCTCTCGGCTAAGGACGCGGCTTAAAATTATACAAGTCTTACCAATTTTCAGTACCGTGTGAAATAAATATGACAACTAAGCAATTATAACCGAAATGATAACATATTCATTAAGGCACTATCGGCCTGGAGAAGTACAAGGATAAAAGGGGCACTATCGGCCCATCCATACAAAAAACAAACAAAACAAAACACCAAAATTCAACAAGAGCACTACTGGCTCATTAACACAAGGCGCACAAGAAAAGATTCAAGACTGCACCTCCGCCTCACCTGCACGGGGCCGTCTTCCGGGGCGCCTTCCTCGTATGTCGTCTCGTCGTCCGGCCTGGCCGCCCAAACCGGAGCCGCCTCATCCGGCTGCTGATCCGGCGGGATAGAAGTTAAGTCCACAAACTTCCCATGGAAGAAGTCCTTGGTCATGTCCAGCTGGAAGTCGGAGGGGAAGTCACCAAAGTAGCGCGCTTGCCGAGCCGCCTGGTTGAACCCAGCCTGATGCTGGGACAAGACCTTGCTACAAGCTTTTTCTTGGTAAGCCCCGAAGGCTGTCTTCTCGGATTCCAGCTCTTTGGTCAGCAGCCCAACCTTCTCCGTTTCCCCCCTCAAGGCAACCTCTAAGCGCTGGACTTTTAGCGCCAAGTCATCAGCAGTACGCCCTCGGCGGTCCAGTTCGGCCTGATACTTGCTGTTGGCCGTTTAAGCATCAGTCAACGCCGCCAAAGTCTCTTGCAAAGACTTCTCTTGCTCCGCCAGTTGACGAAGGAGGCCGTCTGCTTCTCCGTTCGGCTCCATCACAATACTTTGAGCCAAAGCAACCGCACGTACCTGGAACTCGCAAAAGAAGTTCCACTTTTGAGCCGAACTCATGCGGCTCAGCACCCCCTGCCCAGCTTCGGAGGTCAGGTCCTGGCTCAAGAAATCTTGAGCGTTGACGTTGCCGGCCAAGAAGTTAGGCCCAACCAATCCCTCAGGAGCGTTCGGGTTGGCTAGCCGTTGCTGCTTTGCCCGTCGGCTTTCATCCATGGCCCTGCCTTCCTCGGGCCTTCTTTTTTCTGCTTGAGGCGGGGTCGGACCCTTACCTCCCTTCCTCACCCTAGCAGTGGGACCCGACCCCCCACCTTGAGGTTGAGGTGTATGGCCCGCCGCACGGGCGTCAGCCGGAACCCTGTTCCCCATCGTCGTCGCCAGCTGATTGCGGATCAGCGTCCGAATGTCCAAATCATCGTCCGCACGGCTCACCATTATACCTGCACATCATTAAGTCAAAATCAATGATAACGTAAGAACCTACACAACTAGGAAAGTTACTTTACCGATTAGTTCTTCGATCGGGTCAGCCGATTCAGGTAACCGAACCAGAGGTCGGCACGGCAGCGGCCGAGGCAATTTCAGCAAAAATTTTAAACTAGTGCGCTCTTTAGGGGACAGCCGGGACTTGGACACTATGTCGTACTTGTGCGGCTTCCGAGTCCAGTACAACGGGAACAGAGGCTGTCCGTCGTCATCAAAAAAGTACTTATTCCCCGTCGACGGCCTAATCATGACTTTGAGAAATCCTCTCTTTAAGTTTTTGTAAGAGGTAGTAAACAGCTGCAACAAACAGTCGGCATGCCGAACCAATGACAACCACTTGACCTTCTTAGCTGGCCGAGACGAGTAGAAATACAAGAATAGGAGAGGGGTAGGTTGAAGGCCGAGGGTCAAGCACAACCGCCTAAACCCTTGCATGGCGGCCCAGGTGTTGGGATGAAGTTGAGTCGGTGCCACATTTAGCAAGCGCATTATCCCCATGCAATACCCGTTGAACAGCAGTGTCACCTTTAGATCGCGGAACATGTAATCATACATGTAAAAAAACTGGTATTTACAGCTTCCTCGATCTAAGAAGACAAAGTCTGGGTTGGGACCGCCGTCACCTCGGCACAGTTGAAAGAAAAGAGGAGCAGGATCTTCCTCGGCCGGGAAGGTCACACAATTCGTCACCGAGAGAAAGAGTGCGATCGAATTCTTGTCGGCGTACCGAGAGTAGACGCTACCCACTTCCCCGTGCACCCATGAATAACCAGGAGTCGCAATAGGGGGAAACTGCCGTGAACCCGTAGACGGCCGTTCCTCTGAACCTATTGCCGAGGCGAAATCGCCTTCGCTAGTAGTGTGCCTTGACCCCGAAGCGGATCCAGTATTGTCGGATCCGTTCGACGCCGAGGCTGACCTGTCGTGTCGGTCTGACGCTGCCCCCGAAGCGACACTAGCAGAGCCACCCGTGTCCCCAGAAGAGTCAACATGAACGATACCTGAATCTGCCATTACGTACCTGATGGTTGAGTTTGACCTATTATCAGTGAATAATCTAGCACTTGGATGATCTCGGCTCGGAGCAAGTTTAACAGCGTGCCTTTGAGGTTTCCCCCTACACACCTTTTTATAGGCGTTCCCGCAACCACGTTGAAAGCCATACCCCTCCGCGTACCGTTGGATCGCTTAGATCCAATGGCCCACAACGCGCGACCTTTCGCATGCGTCATTTACTACTCAGCGGTTATAACCCTTGGCATTCTTCCAACAGCTATAACCCTTCATCTCCCACCAGCAGCCATAACTCATCATTAAGACTCAACCGTAGCAACTCTTCGTTTCCCTACAACGGGTAGCCTTGTCCTGAAGGACAGTTGAGCCATTTTTACCCTCTGCGTCGTTTCACTCCTCAAGGCTAGGGGGCTTGTGTACCGGAAGGACCCTATCGGTCACGCGGACCAACACGTGCCTTGCCGTCAGACACCCACGCAAGGTGAATAACCCTAAAAGCCTTAACATTAGCACCGGCTCGGATTACAACCGAAAGTATGTTATGAGTCGGATAGCGCGATCGGCTCGGTGTGAGGTCGATACGAACAGAACCGTGGGCTTCGCAAGACGACGTACACCGGCTCAGACAGAAGCCGATCAAGTATAACAGCACAGTAAACATGTAACGACTCGGCCAAAGGCCGGGCCGAAAGGCGCAACAAACATGTAAACGGCACGGCCTAAGGCCGAGCCGAGGGACGAGATAATAATTATAGCCTTCACCATGATCAATGAGGATAAGTACGTGATTAAAGCATAATGAGCCTATTAGCAGCGTATTACCTAATTTGGTAAACTTCAGGAGAGGCCCACTACTGACAAGGCCCATCAGTGGTAGTATAAATAGGTCACTTTTGTCAAGGTATGTCACTGTTCATTAACTACCCTAGAATATCGTGCTTGTCCTGACTTGAGCGTCGGAGTGCCTTTTGCAGGTACCTCCCCCCTCGCGCAGAAGAGCCCACCTGAAGACCCTCGTTCGGCCCTTTCCCCCACTGCAGAGTACGAGTGTGCCCCTAGACAGGTACAGTGTTATTCTAAAATTTGTCCTATTAATTTTTTTTTTGAAATTTGCTTTGTACACACAACTAGGGATCAAAATAAGCTAGACTATTTCA